CACGTGGTCAAGCCGGGTAAAAAAAAATGCATGTGGTCAAAATGCATGTAACGAAGCACGAGTGTTGAGGATACAGATGGCGAATAAGAAGAAGGCTGGTTGGGATGGATTGCAGGGCATGAGTGAATGTCTGACCGGATGTAAGCAGCGAGGCCGAGCAGCATCTCCTGTGTGACCTCCTCGTAGTGCACCCTTGCTGCCATGCAGGGTCCCTGGGGGAACGGGGAGGGGCAAGGCAAGGGAAGGGGAATGCAAGGGAGGATGAAATTGGCAGTCGGGAGAAATGGAATGGGTGGAACGAGGGAGATGATGGGAGGGAGGCAAGAGCACATATGCGGCGGCTTATGGCAAAAAAGGAAGACGTTTGATCGATCTTATGCAACACAAAAAGACACATACATATGAAGAATAAGAAGGGAGGAAAGCGGGCTGAGATGGAATGGATTGGCATGTGTGACGGACCATAGGTAAGCAGCAAGGGTGAACAGCATCTCCTGCGTGAAACCCGGCTGCCATGCAGGGCAGCCTGCACTACCCTCATGCAGTGACTTGATTGCAAGGAGATCGGTCCGATAGGTTCGAGGCGGTAGATGTAGCTGTCAAATTATAATCTTGTGTAGGCTGTAGTGGGGTAGCCTATATGGGGTACACATTTCTAGGGTTGCATATTTGTACCACATTCCATTCCTTAGTGCACTCATTCTTGTTTCAGTTTTCTCATGGTATCGAGCAGGTTCCCTCGTGGGAACTGTGCCTAGGGCCCACCAAGTCGATTTTTTTTTTTCCTGCCCGGAGCGCACTCAGCCCGAGTCGCGCTCCCCTCTCTGACTTCGTCGAGCCGCCCTAGCGGCCACGTCGAGCCGCCTTAGCGGCCCCTGATTCGTCGCCCTAGCGACCCCGTCGCCCTACCTACGGCCCCGGCCCCGTCGCCCTACCTGAGCCTCGGCCCCGTCGCCCTACCTGCGCCCCGACCCCGTAGCCCTACTTGCAACCCCGGCCCCGTCGCCCCACCTCCGACCGAGGCCCCGTCGCCCTACCTGCGCCCCGGCCCCGTCGCCCTACCTGCGTACCGGCCCCGTCGCCCTACCTTCGACCCGGCCCCGTCGCCCTACCTACGGCCCCGGCCCCGTCGCCCTACCTACGTATCGGCCCCGTCGCCCTATCGTCGACCTCTACACCGAACAACCATGCCGACACAGTGACGGTTTTGTCGCTGGGGTTGAACGCGGGCGGGTTCTTCGGCTTTATTTTAACAGTTGTTGAGACTGTTGCTGCTGCATGCATCGGGGGCGCCATTGAAGCCATCACCGAGGATGTCGCTGTTGCCTGTCGTGGCGTAGTCTGCGACTGTTGCCTCGGCGCCGCTCGTGTCTGTTGCTGCGGCTGTGACTGTTGTTCCTGCGTCCCTTGTGCTCGTTGCATCCGTGCCGTCCACTCATCTTCAGCGTCCAGCGAGTTCTGTAGCTCGCTGAGGACCTCGTCGTTAGGTGCGAAACTGCTACTTGCTTCATCCCCGGCGGGCGACTCCTGACGCGCTTCACCTCGCGTCTGGCGTAGCTCGGCGTTTTCCACCCTCAGGCAATCCAACTCGCCAGACATAGTCTGCATGTTAGCCTACATCGCCCGGAACTGTAGCATGAGCTCGTTGAACTCCGCCTGGTCCATGTGTCGCAGGCTTCGTCTAACGGGCGGGGGGTTAACAGCGATTTTTATGGTTTTGATGAAGGCGCAAACGCTATTAGTCGGAGCGAGATAATCGTATCTATTTCTCAGCCGACCGCTTTGCAGCCTACCAAACCTATCGCACCCCTGTACTAAACTACTCCGGAAAGTGGAGGGTAACCTAGGAAAGTAGCTCTGATACCAGGTGTTATGAGTTGTATGAAAGAAGAGTGCGCAGAATGCAATATCGCGGAAGTGATTACAACTACTGAGCAAACAACGAGGCCTAGGCATAATATAGCACAGCTAGCTAAGCCGAGGTCGCGGAGTCGCGCGAAGGTTGGGTGTAGGTTTGGGGTTGGGAAACCCGAAGGCGACGCGGGAGACGTTCGGGAGGCGAGGTCGACGGACCGAGCCTGAATTCCGAAAAGTTGGAATTGAACGCGTAAGAGGTGCCTCAGTAAGGAATTAGTGAAATTCCTTACACTCGTAGATCCTACGGAAACTAAGACGGTCGGTGAGCATGTGTGTGCCGGGCATTGCAAGTGCAGCACTCATTCAACGATAATACGGGGCTGGCGAACTGGCATCTAGAGGGGTAACTGGTGAACGAAAGAATGCTGCTTTGGGCTTCGAAACAAGAGTCGCCCAAAATTCGTACCTTGGTTAAGGCACGTGCTGGGCTGACGTGAGAACGACACAAGTCTTGCTTGTTTGGCACTTCGGTCCGCGGAAAAAACTCGGCGAACAGTTTCTCCAAAACAGGTGGTAACTATACGAAACTCATTGGTTGTGTTCTCGAAGCCAATGCATGTGCCAAACTCGATTTGCACTCAATTCGAACTGGATTTGTTCCGAGTGCTGGGTGACGATTTGAAATCGCTTTTGACTCCTTCCTACTCCAACTAAGTTTAGCAAGTACCCGGTGTGTGGTGAGTCGTGACGCATATTAACCGTACGTTGTAAGAGAAGGTGAATCAAATCGTTCCTACGAGTCCAGTACGACTCACGGTGGCGCCGTTTCCTCGTTGCTATTCGTATATCTTCCACGCTGTCCTCTCGTCACTAGTATTCTTGGCCCTCGTCTCCCGCCTCCTTCTCTCGCATAATTTCGAGCCTGTCACGCGCTGCAGATCGATTTATCCCCGCGCCGCTTCTGAGTCACTTCGAAAACCGCGGAAGCACGACAGTCTGCGAAACCCTAAACAGAGGTAATCCTCCTTATCCCTTCCACCTCCGCGTTTCAAGCCGTGTGCAAGCTTAGGCTCACAGCCCACGATCAAAGTGCTCATGGCTCTGTCAACGGGGGCCAACGTGCAACTTCAGTGACATACCGACTCTCCTACGGCTTCTTCACACCGCCAAGAGACTATCAGAGCCCCTTGACGGTTCCTTGCCCCTCACAGGATTGGTATCTCGGACCCTCCGTGCTGATTTTCCACGCCCAGCACTCAACCAGGCCGACCTACGCTGTGACTGACTTACCTGTGTCTGACCTACCATGTGACTGACCTACCATGTTCCTGACCTACCCTGTAGTTGTCCTACCTTATACGGGACTTACTGTGACTAACCTAGCCTCTACTGACTGGCCCAGCCTTTTAAGCCTAGCCCCGACTGACCAAGCCAGCGACGGACCTAGCCTGACCTGTGAATGCATGACCTAGCCTGTGAGTGAGCTGACCTGTGAATGCATGACCTAGTCTGTGAGTGAGCTGACCTGTGAATGCATGACCTGGCCTGTGAGTGAGCTGACCTGTGAATGCATGACCTAGCCTGTGAGTGAGCTGACCTGTGAATGCATGACCTAGTCTGTGAGTGAGCTGACCTGTGAATGCATGACCTGGCCTGTGAGTGAGCTGACCTGTGAATGCATGACCTAGCCTGTGAGTGAGATGATCTGTGAATGCATGACCTAGACTGTGAATGAGCTGGCCTGTAAGTGCATGACCTAGCCAGTAGTTGTCCTAGCCTCAGATTGCGATAGCGTATTTGTGACCCGGCCAACAGTTTTCTTGCGTGTGTGGGACTTACTCCGCGTGTGCGCGTGTGCCAACAATTCCGTGACTGACCTACTCCTGACTGGCCTAAACTGTGACCACCAACGAGTGCAGCGCGATGGTCTTAGCTGTCACAATGACTTAGCAGTAGCTAGTTCAGATCCTCCAGGTCACCCCAAAACAATCCCAACCACTCTCCTTACCACCTATTACCCCTCCCAGCCACTTCAAGTCTCCCATTTCATAATACTGTGGTGCTCTATGCGTGAGCAATGGCCGAGTCAAGCCAGCCTCGTTGTTACCCGCGTCAGCTTGCTTTGGTATCACTTTGGACCTGGGTTGACTTTGGCTCTATGCGTGAGAAATGGCCAAGCCAAGCATGACTCGTTCGTTTCGTTCCAAGTCAAAGTGTGTGCGTGTCCAGCATGTGGCTCAAATGTAATGCCTGAGCTGCAGAGGCTCTCGGCAAGCTGCCAGGCTCGCCACGAGCCTTGCGACAATCGAGACACCCTATCTGGACCGTTTAGCACTAGAAAAATACAGCAGCCAGAGCAACGCGCAAGCCGAGTGAAGCCAAAGACACGTGCGAGAAAATGATGAGCAAATAATCTGATATGGAAGTGTGGTGAGAGAAGCCAAAGACACGTGCGATGTTGGAGGGCTGCGAACTATTGGTTTTAGCATGCAGTGGGAAAGGGGGAACATCGACTATTCAGTCAGTCGTTTCTGCAACAATAATAACCTAGGTGACCTACGTCATTTCTTGTGCAGTGGTCAGCGTGGATGTGATGTGAGAGACTCGATTTTGGCATGGGTTGTGGGCTTCACATTTTTTGTGACGCCCTTTCCCGCCTCCACATTTTACAGTCCCACCTCCTCGCTTCCCCTTCCCGCCTCCCAATATACTTTTCAAAAATCCCCTTTTGTCCTTGCCGAAGCCCCACTTCCCCTACCCGCCTCCCCATTTCAACGTCCCGACCCCTTCCCCACTCTCCTTGCCTTCCCATCTCCGCGCTTGTCTTCCCCTCTCCCCTCCCTTCTTTCCCATCTCCTTGCCTGCCTTACCCTCTCCAAAAGCAATCAGCAACTTTCATTCATGCCCCTGTTTCTCAATCCGTTTCTTCTTTTCCTGTGTGTACTTTGTCAAAATTGTCCACATGAGCAGAATAATGGAGCAGCGGAATGCAAACCAGCAACGCGCGGAGACAATCGTTAAGGAGGACCCTTTGGCTCTGGAGATCTCCTACCTGGGCACCAGGGCCAAATATCTAGAAGGCTGGTTTCCCTACATGCGCTTGTCGGACGTGAAAGAGTTGGTCGCCCTTCTGATTGTTGCGCATGCCTCTGGACCAAGGCAGATTCCCCTTGGAGTGGGAGGAGTGGCCTCGGGGCGAGGACACTGTTGTGAAGCTTCCTGACGACCCCAGTGCGAGATTCTTCCGCCTTGGAATTGTGGAGGAAGCAAGGGGAACAGCAGGGGAGCGTGGGGCAGGAAAGAAGGGCGGACAAAGGTCATCTGTGACTGTGAGGGGGCAAGGAGGAGACAAAGGGAGGGGCAAGCGGGGGGAAAGGAGCAGTGGGCGTGGGGAAGAAGTTAGAGTTGAAGGATTGAGGACGAGTGACGATGAGGGGCTGCTACGCAAGCTGCTCACATCGCTGCTGCCGCTAGTGCAGAGGAAATTCCCCATCGTTCGCTGCACTGCCGATGCCGAATTTGTGGTGGATTTTGCCGGGTTTCTGGTCAGGCCACCTGCCTGTGCGCAGTGCAATGAGTGCCTTGGGGTCTACAGCCGTCCCATCCCCTTCCTCATGCTCATCACTAACTATGCCTACCGACCTGTCACCACCCTTTTCAACCGCTTTGTATCCATCTTCTCTCCCCTCCCTCCCGAATTCGAATGACTCGCTGCTTGTATGGGTGTGCCTCTCGCTGCCAATGCGCCTGGCTATCTAAGATCGCCTGCGGTGCAGGCTCGAATGGAACAGCTTCCTGTTCTCTTCCTGCTGACTGTGGCTCTAAACTGGGCTGCCCCCGTCCTCGGAATCACGGACCTGAAGTTCCTACACAGGCTGCGAGACGGAAAGGAAGATGATGGGAGGGTGTGGGAAGAGGTGCAAATGTGGTGCCTAGCGGTGGAGCTTGCATGGCAGGGCGGCATGAAGCTGGAGGCTGAGGTATGAGAGACAGGTGCAAGGGCAGCAAGGGGCGAGCTAGTTGGGATGGAAAGAGGGAGAGGTGTTTGCGAGTGCTAAGGGGCATGAGTTGTGGAGAAGGGCTGCCATACCCAGGTTCTGTGAAGACATGCAGGATGATTATGGGCCTTCCGATGGTGCCAGTGGGAGCAGCAGCCGCAGCGACAGCTCTGGGAGAAACAGGAGAAACCAAGGGAGAATAGAAGATGATGGGACGGGCAAGGAGGGGGAGGAGGCGGCTTATTTGAAAGCGTGGCCCGGGGGAGTGAATTTGGTGGCATGTCTGCGAGAGATGCTGCTGGGGGAGCCGTGCTACTGCCCTGTCTCCCCTGCTGCCCCTTCCACCTCTGCTGCCCCTACCACCCCTGCTGCCCCTTCCACCCCTGCTTCCTCGTCCACCCCTGCTGCCCCACCGATCAGTGTTGTGCCAAACCATGCCAAACCTGCACCCGCTTTGGGTACAGAATACACTGGTACTGCTGTTGGTGGGGAGCGTAAGGTCGCAAGTGGAGGCGAACTGAATGCTATCGAGGGTGAGGGACTCCAGTGGAGGACAGAACACTTCTACAGGCGTCGCGGGTGTTCTCCCCTTTAAGGGTGTGCCACACAGCTGCTCGTCTTTCCCAGAGCCTCCTTCAATCTCAGGCTCTACCAGCTGCTGTGATTCCCTTCCCGCTAGTCCCGCGTCCTCTAACGAACCTGCTCCAGCTGTAGCTACCCCAGCTCCTACTGCCGCCCCTTCTGCCGCTGCCCCAGCTTCTGCTGCTGTGGTCACTGCTCGAGGTACTGCTGTTGCTCTAGGCAGCGCCGCTGCCCCATTCAGTAATAGAGGAGCGCCAGGTGGAGCCCCACGAGCGACAGCCTCCATGCGAGCCACCAGCTGCTGCGTGAGCGCCTGCAGCAGCCCCCGCGCCTCTCTCCGCGACACCGCCACAAACTCTGAGACCGATGGCTGACTGACTGACCCATGGCTGACTGACTGACCCATGACAGACTTACCAATGGCTGACTGACTGACCCGTGGCTGACTGACTGACCCATGACAGACTTACCAATGGCTGACTGGCTGACCCATGGCTGACTGACTGATCCATGACTGACTGACCGATGGCTGACGACTGACTGACCCATGGTTGACTGACTGACTTATGACTAACTGACTGACCTGTGGCTGAATGACTGACCCATGGCTGACTGACTGATCCATGACTGACGGATCTATGGCTGACTGACTGACCCATGACTTACCAATGGCTGACTGACTGACCCATGGCTGATTGACTAACCGATGGCTGACTTACTGACCCATGACTGGCTGATTTTCTGGCTGACTGACTGACCGAATGCTGACTGACTGACCTATGGCTGACGCTGACTGACTGACCCATAGCTGACTGACTGAACCATGGCTGACTGACTGACCCATGGCTGACGCTGACTGACTAACCAGTGGTTGACTGAATGAACCATGGCTGATTGACTGACTTATGACTGACTGATCTATGGCTGACTGTTTGACCCATGGTTGACTGACTGAACCATGGCTGCTGATTGACTGACACATGACAAACCGACCGATGCCTCACGGATTGACCCATGACTGCCTGACCCATGGCTGACTGACTGACCCATGGCTGATTGAATGATCGATGCCTGACTGATTGACCTATGGCTGACTGACTGACTCATGGCTGACTGACTGACCCATGTATGATTGACTGACGCATGTCTGACTGACTGACCCATGGCCACCTGATTATGGCTGACTCCTGACTGACCCATGACTTATCAATGGCTGACTGACTGACTGACTGACTTATGGCTGATTGACTGACTCATTGCTGATTGACTGACCCATGGCTGACTAACTGACCGAATGTCCGCCATGATCCTTATAAAAAACAAAAGGCCAGGCTGCTGCATTGATGGTCGAATTCACAAGCCAGCTGCGCTGAAAACGTACTTGACAAGCCAAGTTGATGAAACAGCCCCCTTGCAGCAGCCAGCCGCAGAAAAAAGGTTCTGGTCAGCCAGCCCGCCCTGCCAGCCAGCCAGCTTGCAGCAGTCAGCCACAGACGAATGGTTGTGGTCAGGCTGGGAGAGTCATATAGTGAGATGGGTGGGTAGGTACGGTTTCAGCAAGGTGGGGTGAGAGCACAGGCATGGCTTCAACAAGGGCAGCTCACGGCAAGAAGGGGTGAGAGCACAGGCATGGCTTCAACAAGGGCAGCTCATGGCAAGAAGGGGTGAGAGCACAGGCATGGCTTCAACAAGGGCAGCTCACGGCAAGAAGGGGTGAGAGCACAGGCATGGCTTCAACAAGGGCAGCTCACGGCAATAAGGGGTGAGGGCACAGGCATGGCTTCAACAAGGGCAGCTCACGGCAAGAAGGGGTGAGAGCACAGGCATGGCTTCAACAAGGGCAGCTCACGGCAAGAAGGGGTGAGAGCACAGGCATGGCTTCAACAAGGGCAGCTCACGGCAAGAAGGGGTGAGAGCACAGGCATGGCTTCAACAAGGGCAGCTCACGGCAAGAGGGGGTGAGAGCACAGGCATGGCTTCAACAAGGGCAGCTCACGGCAAGAAGGGGTGAGAGCACAGGCATGGCTTCAACAAGGGCAGCTCACGGCAAGAAGGGGTGAGAGCACAGGCATGGCTTCAACAAGGGCAGCTCACGGCAAGAAGGGGTGAGAGCACAGGCATGGCTTCAACAAGGGCAGCTCACGGCAAGAAGGGGTGAGAGCACAGGCATGGCTTCAACAAGGGCAGCTCACGGCAAGAAGGGGTGAGAGCACAGGCATGGCTTCAACAAGGGCAGCTCACGGCAAGAAGGGGTGAGAGCACAGGCATGGCTTCAACAAGGGCAGCTCACGGCAAGAAGGGGTGAGAGCACAGGCATGGCTTCAACAAGGGCAGCTCACGGCAAGAGGGGGTGAGAGCACAGGCATGGCTTCAACAAGGGCAGCTCACGGCAAGAAGGGGTGAGAGCACAGGCATGGCTTCAACAAGGGCAGCTCACGGCAAGAAGGGGTGAGAGCACAGGCATGGCTTCAACAAGGGCAGCTCACAGCAAGAAGGGGTGAGAGCACAGGCATGGCTTCAACAAGGGCAGCTCACGGCAAGAAGGGGTGAGAGCACAGGCATGGCTTCAACAAGGGCAGCTCACGGCAAGAAGGGGTGAGAGCACAGGCATGGCTTCAACAAGGGCAGCTCACGGCAAGAAGGGGTGAGAGCACAGGCATGGCTTCAACAAGGGCAGCTCACAGCAAGAAGGGGTGAGAGCACAGGCATGGCTTCAACAAGGGCAGCTCACGGACGTGTTTTAAGCCCTCCTTCAAGGCGTCTTTCAGTATGCAAGGCTGAGCAGGCGGTTCAGCTTGATGGCTCTTCTCGTCAAGTGGGGTTTAAGCGCAGCCACTCCTTCCAGCATCGGGCTTCGTCTCAGAGTGGATAAGTCCGGCGTTTTGTTTTGGACAGGATCCTGTCAACAAGGCGGTTGCAGTCATCAGGTTGTGGTCAGTCATCCCATGGGTCGGTCGGTCAGCCATGGGTCAATCAGCCTTGGGTCAGTCAATCAGCCTTGGGTCAGTCAATCAGCCATGGGTCAGTCAATCAGCCATGGGTCAGTCAATCAGCCATGGGTCAGTCAATCAGCCATGGGTCAGTCAATCAGCCATGGGTCAGTCAATCAGCCTTGGGTCAGTCAATCAGCCTTGGGTCAGTCAATTAGCCTTGGGTCAGTCAATCAGCCATGGGTCAGTCAATCAGCCAGGGGCAGTCAGTCAGCCACAGGTCGGTCAGTCAGCCATGGGTCAGTGAGTCAACCATGGGTCAGTCAGTCAGTCACGGTTCAGTCAGTCAGCCGGGTGAGTCAGTTAGCGATGGGTCAGTCAATCAGCCATGGGTCAGTCAGTCAGCCATGGGTCAGTCAGTTAGCCATGGGTCAGTCAGTTTGCCATGGGTTGGTCAGTCAGCCATGGGTGGATGAGTCAGCCATGGGGTTCATGAAGTATCTGCTCAGCGCACTGCTCATCATCGTCTTAACAAGTCATATCACACTTCCCAACCCCGATTCATCCCTCCCATACGGCTCTTGCCCTACAGCATCTGACATATCATTGCAAATGATAGCGCCATGAAGGGATCAAATCAAACCCTTTCTTGCCCACGTGTTACAGATGACAACCCACTGAAAAGAGGTGGATACTGCCTGGAGGGAGGATGTGATGTTTGCATGTTAGATATGTGGGATGGAGAAAGAGTTGCTATATCATGTAGTGTACTTCATTACGAGTAGAACGCTTGTTGCTGCCACAAAATGGCTTATGATTTCCATTTGAGAAACCCATATTCGTTATGAATAGAGCTATTCTAGTGGCAAATATTATGTATGCAACATTCAAAATATGTCATAAGCACAAAATATGTGCCCATGCACAAGCCAAAGCTGTAGCTCCCACTTTTTATGTACGAAGGCCAATTTTCTCGTTCCATTTACCTGATCACCAAAGATTCTACCAGCATCCATTCCATTTATCTGTTCAACAGGCCATATTTCCCCATATACCATATGTTTTGGTATGGCACAAACCAGAAGCTCTGGGTAATCTAGCAAGGTGCACGTGAAGACAAACTTGATTATGTGGAAAAGCCACTTGGCATGTCCCCTCGCTCCGCACGGGCCATTTCAGCAGTGAAGCTGGAGGAGCCAATGGAACTCCCAAGCTCCGTGTCCAAGCGAGATTTGGCCTCGCCCACATGGCTCTCATGTGCTCCAGAAGCTTCCTGCTTCAACTTCACCAGCTCCCCCAGCACTTGATTCATGGAGGGGCGGGAGGCCGCAGGCATGGTGGTGCAGGAGAGGGCAAGGCGAGCCCAGCGCAGCACCAAGTCATCTGGTGCGTCCAAGTAGGGGTCCTTGAAGACTGTAACGGCATCTGACTCCACGAATGGTGTGATCTGTTGGGTTGAGCCATGTGGACATATGCGTGATTGTTCAGTGAACTACATACTTATGAGTGGAGTATTGAGCAGTAGTTGTGCAGTTTTTGCATAAAATATTCAGACAAGTCTGTAGCAAGCATCTGTGCTCACCCATTGCTTCAGACTGATCTGGCTGGTCTCGCTCATATGCACAGCCTTGCGTGCCGAGATGACAACCAGCATCACCACACCAAAGCTGTTAAGACCAATCAGAAAGAGGGACAGGAGAATGGAGATTAATGTGAGACATTTCAGAGGAGCATTTCTATGCCCTACCCACATCACAAATGGAAGAAAAATACATTTCTATGCTCACACCTGCTGCTGGAGTGTTCCAATCACTCAAGTGGTAGCCACAGTTGGTTTCTTACTCAACTCGAAAGAAATATCTTCACCCGCTCACCTGTACACATCTGCTGCTGAAGTGGCCTTGTGGGACTTGTAATAGGCAGGGTCCACATAGCCCGGAGTCCCCATCACTCGAGTGGCAGCCACAGACGTGCCCATAGCGGTGCCTCCAGTGAGCTTTACCAAACCAAAGTCTGCAATCTTGGCCTGAACAACAGTTTGTACGCAAAATTAAGATAGTCAATTGCACCAAGTGCTTTCAACATGTCAAGACATGCTAGTAAAAGAAAAAACAAAATGTTAGGTTGGTGACTTGTCATACAAAATGCAAGGAGAAAACATAGTTAGACGTACATGCATTTTTGCATCAAGCAGAATGTTGGCTGGCTTGATGTCGCGATGCACAATGCCGAAGTCATGAAGATATTGCAACCCCTTGGCCACTCCAATCAAAACATCCAGTCGTTGCAACAGAGAGAGATGACTTGGAGCTCCTAGGAAGGTGTAATGGAAGAATTGGTTCCAATGGGAATGTTATTGAATTGCTTGTCCCTAAGGAATGGACATTGTAATCTGAAGAAAGGGTTTGCAAGGCATGATACAAGGTATGCGGCACGGCAAGTGCAGGGTACATGGGCCACTCAAACCTTCCAATCTTTGAAGTCACGTCACACTCAGAAACTACTCCAAGAAAGTGGCTATCAAAGAGCATAATAAGACATCCATCATAGACAAGTGAAGTTTTATTACCTGATCCAATCCAGCTCTCCAAGTCCCGGTTGGCCATGAACTCATACACGAGCACTTGCTCAATCTGGCCCGTGCTGGAATCATAGTGCACACAGAAGCCCAACAGCCGCACCAGGTTGGGGTGGTGCTTACTGGCCATCTCCTTCACCTGCAAGATGGGAGAGGAAAAACAAAAAGGGAGTAGGCAAGAGTAAGAGAGTGAAGTGAATGTGTTTAAATGGTGTATGCATGCATGTACAAGAATGGTACTGTAATGATATCTGAAAAAACACAACAGCAAAATCCAAGTGCCAAATACATCACATGCGATATTGGGGAAAATCGAAAAGGAAGAGGGCAAGAGGGAAAGTGTGTGTCTGTGTTTGACAAAGTGTGTGTGAGTATTTGTATGTGTGCATCTTGCTGTGTGTGCGCACATGTGTGCATGTGTGTGTGTGTGTGCACGCGCGCGCGCGCGAGCGCGTAAACGCGCCTGAATGTGCATGTGAGTTCAAATGAATGTGTGTGTGTCCCTGTTTGTGTGTGCGTTGGCATACAAAGAATGTCCAATAACAGCATTGCAACGTGTTTATGGTATGAGGCCAGAAGACTCATCAGCACCATCTTGTACCTCAGTAAGGAAGTCACTGGATAGGACCCTGGATCGCTTCACAGCCCACATTTCATTGGGTTCATGCACTGACACGCCCTTGTACACATCTCCAAAGCTGCCGCTTCCAATCCTGTTTCCCTCTGCCCAGTCTCCCGTTGCGCTTGCAAGCTCTTCCAGAGTGAACTTCTGGCACACATGTGGCTTTACTGCCTCCATCTCCACCACCACGTCTCTCTCCTTCACCCATTCCGCTGCTCCTGCAGCCACAGCCGCAGCTGCTGCAGCAGCTGCTTCTCCTTCTGGGTCCCTATTCTCTGCCTTGGATGCTGCGTTGAGATGATCTGGTTCTAAGAATGTCAGAGGTGGTGAAGGAGACAAGAAAAAGATGAGGAATTGAATGTGGATGCGAACTTAGGGTAGGGATGAGCAAAGGGCGAACAGGAACATGTTCGTCTTCGCCCCTTGTCGAACACCCTCTTTTGCCGAACCGAACACTGTTCGGTTCGGCGAACAGTTTAGGAAAAAACAGGTGTTCGCTGTTCGCCTGTGGAGGCGTGTTCGGGCGAACCTCGAACACTGTTCGTGTTCGTCGAACACTTTCGAGGCGAACCGAACAGGTGTTCGCCACCTTGCTCATCCCTAACTTAGGGTCTGGGAGGAGGCTGTATTTCGAACAGCGTAGACTGAAGGTCCTACCTTGGAGTGCACTTTCTTCATTTAAATCTTTGCCGTCCACATCTGTGCCTCCTGTTGCCCCTCTGGTGTGGTATCGTTTGCACATCAGCCAGATAAGCAGCAGCAGCACTAGGAAAGCCACAGCGCCAGCAGCAGTAATGCCAGCAATGGCTCCGTTGGATAAACCGCCTTCAGACTGGGTAGCAGATGCTGCAGGCTTACTAGGAGTTGGTGAGGGAGGAGGTGGGGAGGCTGTGGGCACTGGCGATGGGGAGGGTGTTGGCACTGGCGATGGGGAGGGTGTTGGCACTGGCGATGGGGAGGGTGTTGGCACTGGCGATGGGGAGGGTGTTGGCACTGGCGATGGGGAGGGTGTTGGCACTGGCGATGGGGAGGGTGTTGGCACTGGCGATGGGGAGGGTGTTGGCACTGGCGATGGGGAGGGTGTTGGCACTGGCGATGGGGAGGGTGTTAGCACTGGTGATGGGAGGTACATTTAAGGAGTAGGAAGATGGATATAGTGAATGGAAAAAGGCTATCACACGTGGGAATAATGGTGGGATCGATGAAAAGGGATGTGGGAGAGAAAGCGAACGAACACTCTGAAAGGTTGAAAAAAAAACAAATCAGCAAAAGCCACGAGGTATTCTTTGGTATTCTTCGGTATAAGTTGTGGATGCGTGACACCGCAGAAGTTTGTTCTGTAGATGGCAGTGTAGTGTTCATGCACTCAGCACGAATGAGAGCGTTGTCAGAAAGGAAATATTACTTGCAGCGACCCGCATAAAGTGATTGCATTTCACCTGGTTGTGGCTTGTCACAGGTGGTGCAGAAGGGGCTACACTGCTGACAGAAAGCACTTGAAATGGTCTGTTTGACCACACAGCTGCTGTATTCAGGAGGGCATGCGATTGCCATAAAATGTGTGTCCCTGCATGTGCACATGGGGTGATCTCAAACTAAGAACCAGAAACCGGTTTCAGCTCTGAATGAAACTCTTTGAGATTTCTAAAGGGAAGGTTTGGTGAGACATTACAATGCTATACTCTGCCAAGATGTTTTATTCGAAGAAAAACCCAGTAAACCATATATTGGTTTCCATGCATGTTAGGCAATAGGGAATGGCTTAACGTGGTCTCGACCCAACATCAGTTGTTGTGCCGAAACGGATTGAGCCGGGATAGTCATCACGACCTTTGGTACCTTGTATACCTCCTACTTATGGCTGTAACAGTACTAGCTCAGGTATATGAGCGAAACACATTGGCTCCTTGTATAGCTCCTCCTCGTGATACGCTTTAACGAGCAATGATGGACATTGCAACAATTTAATCTGCATGCCTTACAAGGTTGAAAGACGAGTAAGATTGCCCATTGTTGGAGGGAGTTGGCCAGTGAGATTGTTTCCACTTACATCACTGCAATGGAAATGTCAGATGATGTGTGCACAATCAAACGTTAGCATTTTGACACTAGATGTTCTATGGACAGATTGATGAACCCTTTATATTATTGTCAATGTCCATAAAAATGAACTCTGGAGGCTCAGTTAGGGGGCCTCATAACCTTGCCCATGTATCTTACCGCCTGGACATTTCGGGACCATATAGTGAGGCTAATGTGGAGAGATTCGCAGCAAATCCTCACCATTGTGAGTGGCGAGATGGACCGGCTCACAACAGTGACAGGTCGCTGTGGTCACACAGGAGGAATGACTGCATTCTCTCTCCACCAGTTCAGGGGCACCTTCCATCCCCAGTGGATCTCAATTCACATTCGCGCTGGTGCAGACTCCCTCCTCCTCATGCATAGCTCGTATGCTCGTTCTCAAAACAAGTTGCTCAAATCACACCATCAGAGGCCCCTGCATGTACGAATCTGTGTGAGGTCAGTTAGGGCTCTCTTTCTGGATTCCTTGCCAATACTCACAATTTTTTGAGGCTGCTCATTTTGCCGATGGTGGATGGAATAGACCCTCTCAGAGCGTTGTAGCTGAGAAATCTGATGGTAAAGAAAGCAAAGTATATTATGGGTGGAAATAAATGAAGACAACGTGCGGCTCATGGCAACATGCAAATGTGTACACACTCAGAAACAGGAAAAAAAGATATAGAGTACACAATGTTTGTGTTGGTGGAAAGGCACAGCAGGTTGGTTAAGTCCCAGTCAAAGCATTGCTGATAAGATTGATGGTGCATACATGCCAGAGGTTTCACTGAAGAATGAACCCCAAGGCGGTAGAAGGTAGGCAAAAAATGGGGAGGGAGATAGGAAATGCATGATATGTTGACGTAGGAGTGTGGCTGGACCGGAAACAACATGCTATGAGGCAATATGCAAAAGGCAGTACTTATGGGTAGAATATGAGTTCAGCAAAGGGCTTGGTGGGGTCGACCCGACCTGACCGAACGCAGGTTTTTGCCCGGGATGGGTCACCCCAGGAGTCCCCTAACCAGATCGGAGACTTGACCCGAGAACCGAGTGGCCATTGTTTCCCAGGATGTTTAACTTATGTTTAACTTCCCAGGGTGTGTAACTACCAAAAAAGCTGTAGACAAACAGGAATTAATTGCTTAGGGATAAGAAGGTGAGATTATGGCTACAGCAGCTATTCCAAGATGGAATACCCACTTTCACATTGGGAATTCAGAGGCAAGATTTCATCGCTATAGAAGGAATATGTGCGCTCAAAAGTGATTTTAAGGCTGGTTGGATAAGTGCGTGTGCTCACAAGTGCAGATCTTGCTCAGCTCGCAATTGAGTCAGCATTCGAACAGATTGAGCCGGCAGCTCTGGCAGGAGAATCTACTTGACTGGGAAGGCGAGACGCAAGCCGAACGTTAGCATTTTGAAACTAGATGTTTAATGGACAGATTGACCAACCCTTTATATTATTGTCAATGTCCATAAATATGAACTCTGGAGGCTCAGTTAGGGGGCCTCATAACCTTGCCCATGTATCTTACTGCCTGGACATTTCGGGACCATATAGTGAGGCTTATGTGGAGAGATTCGCAGCAAATCCTCACCACTGTGAGTGGCGAGATGGACCGGCTCACAACACTGTGGTCACACAGGAGGAATGACTGCATTCTCTCTCCACCAGTTCAAGGGCACCTTCCATCCCCAGTGGATCTCAATTCACATTCGCGCTGGTGCAGACTCCCTCCTCCTCATGCATAGCTTGTATGCTCGTTCTCAAAACAAGTTGCTCAAATCACACCATCAGAGGCCCCTGTATGTACGAATCTGTGCAAGGTCAGTTAGGGCTCTCTTTCTGGATTCCTTGCCGATACTCACAATTCGTCGAGGCTGCTCATTTTGCTGATGGTGGACGGAATAGACCCTCTCAGAGCGTTGTACCTGAGATCTCTGATGGTTAAGCAAGGAAAGTATATTATGAGTGGAAATAAATGAAGACAACTTGTGCCTCATGGCAAGCATGCAAATGTGTACACATTCAGAAGCAGGAGAAAAGGATAAAGAGTACACAATGTTTGTGTTGGTGGAAAGGCACAGCAGGATACAACTATGACCTGAAACAACTGTGCATGCACATTGCTTAAAACAGCATACTCCATCGCATAATGTCTTCACTGTCTGCATTTGAACAAATTGATTTTGTAAAGGAAAGTCTGTAGGCCAGCAGCGTTGGCAAGACATTCTGTTTTCTTTTCTGTAGCGAAAAGGAGAGTTCAGGGATGGCTCAGATTTGACCAACAATGATGGCAGCTTGAGAATGGCTGGTCTGATGACTTTATTTGGGTATGATCAAACTGATGGCAGCCTATATATCGTGGCTTTGGGTCTTTGACCTTCGCTACGAGCTTGATTTCGTAGAACTTCACTCTCACTTGAACATGAGGAACAGCCAGAACATCCCTTTCCCATGTGTCTTGTCGCTTGGAAATTGCAAGACCCTATCATGAGGCTAATGTGCAGAGGTAGGCGGCAGACCCCAATACCAAGTAGATGGTGAGGCTTCTTCCATACTGATCCCAGTTAGCTACCCATGGCGGTCTAGGATGCTGCCTTTGTTGTAAAGATGAGCATTTGCCCCGCTCGGTCGGGTCAGCGGTTTCAATTGCCTGCCCCGTGCGGGCCGACCCGACCCGACCCGGGCCAAAACCCGACCCAAGCATGAGACTCAGGCCGAGTCGGGTCGGGTTTCGGGTCAGCTTTGACCCGACCTGAAATCGGGTCAAGATTTGGGAAATCGGGTAGGGTCAGACCCGACCCTATTTCGACACAGGGGGGACCCGAAACCGTAACACATTCTATTTCAAGGGTATTTTTTTTCCCTCGACATCAATTCATTACCGCAAACCTAATATCCTTCCTCCAGCGACCAAAGGCACCTAGGAACCATAACTACTTAGTTTGCAGCCAAAGAATGATGCGACAAGTTAGAAGACGACTTTGTGGAGAGGCTCGATGTCGAGAGATTTGTAAAGAGTGGGAGGGGAAGGGTTGGGAATGGTAGATTTTATGCGGTAAGGAGTGGTGAGCAATAGCGAATTGGTTGGAAACATTTGTTCCAACACATTCGTCGGAAACGAGTGTCATGGCGAAACTCCCAATCTCCACCAGATCGACCAGCGAAATTGACAGAGTTACGCCAACCAACTCGTCGATCTGCGCAGATCGGCGGACGAAAGCCCCGATCTGCGAAAATCGGCGGGCAAAATCACCGATCTGCGTAGATCGGGGGGAGAAACCGCCGATCCGCGCAGATCGGCGGGAGAAATCGCCGATCCGCGCAGATCGGCGGGAGAAATCGCCGATCCGCGCAGATCAGCGGGAGAAATCGCCGATCTGCGCATATCGGCGGACGAAAGCGCCGATCTGCACAGAGCACGGGCGAAATCGGGTTTCCTGACCCGACCCGACCCGGCCCGACCCGAACTCGGGTAACCTCTGACCCGAGTTCTTAGGCCCGGGTCGGGCCAGCTGTTTCAGGAATCTGGCCCGAACCCGGCCCGACCCGAACCGACCCGAGGGCCCGAATGGCCCGGCCAAATCGGGTCGGGTCGGGCCACATGCTCAACTCTACTTTGTTGTGAATGTCCTGCATTCTGTGCGTTTTCTTTTCCAAAGAGAGAAAGCAAAGACGGATCTAAGAGAACATTGACGCATCATAAATGCAAAAAATGGACCACCCATGCTCGCATCCCAGTGCGTCTTCTCTCCCCTCACACGCAACTTAAGGCCGTGCTCAGTATGTGGCAAACCTTTAGGGGACTCCTAAAGAGGAAAATTGAAGACCAATTTATGAACACATTGACGCATCAAATACGCAGAAGATGGACTGCTCATGCTCGCAATCCAATGCGTCTCTCCCCTCACATACAGCTTGAGGCTGTGCTCAAGTATGTGGAAAACCTTTAGGGGACAGGGAAATTGAAGACCAATTTAAGAGCACATTGACTCATCAAAGACGCAAAAGATGGGCTACTCATGCTTGAAATTTATGCCTTTCACTACAACATGACCAAG